GCCCCATTATCGTCCTGATCCTTGCTGACAGCTTGCGGAGAAGGGAGATGAGCGGTAGGTGAGTGAAGCCAAGGGGCTGCCATATTATGGGGCCGTCCAGAAGATGCTATGTGAAGGGGATCTGGCCCAACATCTATTTGATTGCTGCGTTCAAGAGTAGATGGCCGAAAATTAACTTGTTCGGCGGGCACAAGAGGACAAGTAGCTGACCCAGTATCCACATCCGTGCAGTCCTTCTCCTGTTGTTGGTCTTGACGTCTGCAGATGGGAGGGCATACAACTGGCGGACCAGGACGCCAATTAGTCTCATGTGAGACTTTCGGCGAAGGAGTAGTAGGATGGCAGTTGGGCGGCTCCACTCGTCCAGAAGGTGTTTTCATCGGTGAATAATAATCTGAGGGTGACCTGGTGGATGGGAGGTCAAATCCTTCTTGTAAATGTCGAGAACGTGGCTTTGGCTGAACGTGAGAAGTGCTGCAATTTTCAATTACTTTGTTGTAGACCTGATTAACTATAAATCCAAAATCATGCCCTTCTTGTTCTATTAATTTGAATGGAAACTCATTTTCAAAGAAAGTCACGTCCCTCGAGCTGTAAATGTCCTGCTTTCGTAAATCAAAAACTCTGTAGGCCTTTTGACCATAGGGATATCCAAGAAAAATACACGGACTCCCCCTTTCACCAAATTTATCTTTACGTTTGTTGTCGTGTGCATACACCAAGCACCCAAATACCCGTAAGTGTTCATAGCTAGGTATTTTTCCAAATAGCATTTCATAAGGGCTTTTATTTGAAATAATGGGTGAGGGTAGCCGATTTATTATGTAAACCGCGGTAAGAATACATTCTCCCCAAAAATCAATAGGTAACCCCGACTGAAAACGAAGTGCTCTAGCGACCTCCAAAATGTGTCTATGTTTGCGCTCTACAACCCCATTTTGTTGGGGAGTATCTGTGCACGACGTCTCACAAATAATTCCACGACGTCCATAATACTCAAATAATGGTTTAGTCTGAAACTCCAATCCATTATCTGATCGTATTCGCTTAACTCGTTTTTCAAATTGAGTTTCCACCATATTACAAAATTGTATCAAATGCTGACAAACTTCCGATTTATTCTTCATAAGGTAAACCCAAACACCTCGAGTGAAATCGTCTACGATGGATAAAAAATAACGTGCTCCGGAAGTAGAATCACACCTATATCCTCCCCATATATCACAATGTATCAATTCAAAACAACAAGAAGTCTTACTTGTGCTTTCGGGAAAAGAAAGGCGGGTTTGCTTGGCACGCACGCAGGGGTCACAAAAATTACTGTCACGATGAAAACCCTTGAGAAACCCGATGTGTTGGAGTTTTCCGTCAGAAGCATGCCCCAACCGTAGGTGCCATAAATCAGGACCAAAAATAGCTGACGCTGTTACCTCCTCACCTTTTGACGGTTCCAGGTAATATAGACCATTATGGAGTCGGCCTCTCCCAATTATCCTTTTTTAGTATAATTCCTCTAAAATACAACCACTTGAGGAAAAAATAAGTGTGCAATTGAGATCGCTAGTAAGACGGCTGGCAGAGAGCAAGTTGCACTGAAACTGTGGGATATAAAGAACGCGCCGAAGACATAACCCATTTGATAGGTATAGACTTCCAACAGCAGAAACTGGAACTAATTCACCATTGGGGATTCTGACGGACGGCTCGAAGGGGTGAGTTTGGATGTTGAAGAGATTATCTTCTTTACAAGTGATATGTTCACTTGCACCAGAATCAATTATCCAAGTGAGAGTGTTAAATGATACTTCTGCCATGTCGATGTGATCATGGGAGAAAGGCAAAGAAAGTATTATTTTGAATCTCTAACGAGGACATTGATTTCCAGGTTTCGGCTCTGATACCATGTTAAAACTGAAATTTATGAATATATATAAATGGAACTAAGGAACAATTTTACAATAGAGAAGAAATATTATTACATAGAGAGGCACAAGTGTGAGTCCTCTTAGTATTTCTTCATACGTAAAATGCAATACATGCACACATATACATAGCTATAATATATAGAAACTAGGAACCCTACATATACAAGTGGGCCCTGAATAATAAATGGTGCAAATAAAAAAAAACAACAATGGTGCAAATAAAAAAAAACAACTCTCAATAGCTACTACATATTTGCTATGCACTAATCCAGATAAAATCGAGACATTATATTATCTTTGCAATGTCATTTTATGCTACCTTGTTGAATGTTCTGTGAAATTTATGTGGGCAGCTTCTCTAGTGTTATACTGAGTATATAATTAAGAACCAATATCTTCTTTAATGTTATACTCTGTATATAATTAAGAACTGACAGCTTCTTTAGTGTTATACTCCGTATATAATTAAGAACTGATAGCTTCTCTAGTGTTGTACTCCATATATAATTAAGAACTGAGCAAATAGCCAAATAGGAGTAGAACATTCTTCATGTGCCCAAATAATGCCAATCCTTGTTTTCTTCTAAAGAGCATGACTGATTAAGTTCTAAAAAAGCATAATACAACAACATCTGAGCCTTAGTCCCAAAGGAGTTTGGGGTCGGCTTACATGATGAACCAACACATTATATCAGAGGTAAAAACGATAAGTTGGAAAAGATAAAAAGATAGAATAAAGATAAGATGAAGATTAAAAAAGATAGATTGAATGAAAGGGAGATAAGAAAGAAAAAAGAAAAAAGATAAAATAAGATCAATCATCCACACATATACTTTTCTAAGTGATTCCTTGAATACGACAAAAGTACACAGCGCAACAGAGCAATCATATGGGTGTTTACTTTTTTAAAAATTAATAATTGTAATTAATAATTCTCTTTTTAGGAATGGATGAGTTTCCATTCCAGAAATTCAGGAAATGATGGTTGTATTGAAAGAAGTGTGTTCTGTTAAGTTCCCATTTATGTAATATGCCCTAATCAAATGTATTTTTTAATCTATCAGGAACAAGATAAAGCTATCTAGGGGTGTTTCCTTTTAAATCTTCAAAACAAGAGAACAAATGCAGATTGATTGTATGGACCTTATTCTATAGTTGGTAATTTGCAAAAGCATAGGATTTGCAGTCCGCCATTCCAGATATTGTCATCTGGTGTAAGCTTGAACATTAGAAGATGCATAATTTTTTTGAAGGTTATCCCTTTTTAACAGAGAAGGGTCCAAAAGATGGCAATGCTAAAAGAGATTGCACTAATAATCTTAGACCATACACTTGTGCTGGGCAGGATTCTAGCTCAGCATCTGTCATTAGCAATGATAACATATCTTCAACTGTGACCTTCAATGAAAATTCCATGAAAACTGATGGGATATCTTCTGCACAAGAATTTTCTGCAAAGAGTGAATCTTCATGCTCTAACTCATATTTCATCCGTCCAGTGTGTTCTCCAATTGACCACTACCAGGAAGGGTCAGTGCATGCCAAGTCATCTATTCCTTATAAACAAGTTGCTTGTAACCAAGAGAGTGAACTTACCAACAGATTTGATTTAAATGTATCTTCTTCTGATGTGATACGAGTGATGGCCAAGTTAGGGGTACCTCTAAGCTCGCCTATGCCTACACAGAAATTTCGAGGTGATTTTGGTTGGAGGGGCAGTGGTGAGTCAAGTGCTTTTCATCTCGTTTCGTTTCCCAAGGGCATCGACAATAATACCCCTTGTGTGGCAAAAATTGATGACCATAGTTCCAAAGATTCAAGAGGTGATTCTACTATCATTGACCTCAATCTTACCCCACAGGAAGAGGATTCTTCTGATGAATATGGAAGTGGTGGCTCAAACTCAAAACAAGTCAAGAAGTTCAATATTGACCTTAATACCCCACTCGACGGTATTGGCGATGATCATATCCAGTGGCAGAGATGCCAAACAACATCTGGAGTCGAAACACGTCCTTTAGAACGTCTTGATGTTCAAGGATCTGCTTACAAGGGAGAATTAAGAAGTCAAATGCAGGTCTTTGACCAACCGTTCACAATGGCCCAACCTGCTTTGCTTCGGCCTGTGGGACTGATGGATAGGTTACTTATTCCAGTGCAGCCACAATACTATTCACCTTATGCAATGCAGGTTTTGCCTTCTCATTGTTATCAAACACCTCCAAATGCTTCATTCTTTGTCACCAGAGATCCGTATGCTGGCTACTCTTCTTCCCCTCAAGCTTTTAGTGGTGGTGGTGAAGTTCAAAACTATCTTGGGACCCCACCATATCGGTTGGGGGGTGAGCATGGCCAACACTCACATGGTGATCTGTCTTTAGTTAATGGAAGCTGGAAGGAGAGTACTGACATGAGATTTTCACAGCAAGCAGCTAGAAAGAGAAGAGAACCAGATGGCGGATGGGATGCTTTACAGTTTGGCTTTAAGCATACATCTCACTAACTGTTTCTTACATTTCTGATCACAAGTTCTTTTGAAAACTATTATTTAAAAGTTGATGTGAATACAATCACCACGTTTTTGGATGTTTCTGGATTTGTTCACGTACAGCTTTGGAATTTCCCTTTTTCTCTATGGGGGCACATGACATAATTATGATCTATATTTTAGGCTATGCTTTCTTCTTCTTTTTTTTTTTTTTGATAAAAGGTAAATATATATTATTTGACAAAGAATAAATACAGCATTAAGGGGTATATCCCTTTCTGCTGAAGCAAAACATTCCTTTGCTCAGCCATAGCATTCACTCATCCACAATAAATCCAAGCAGAAACTAACCCCAAGCCTAGAAGTCAATCATATCAGATGGATAGATTCTAAACAGAACACGATAAATAAATAATCTAATCTGCAATACAAGGTTTTGTATAGTAACCATCTTCTTAGCAAAAATGCAGTCATTTCTAGCTTTCCAAACAGCATAAACTGAGCAACATAAAGCTAACCGGACAGTCTTGCTGTTTAGCCTAGCTCCTCTATAATGTTTAAGGCACATCTTCACGGTGCTCAGTATCGTGGATGAATCTCTTCTAAACCCGAGCCAATATTTTATCTCCCTCCAAACAGCAGCAGTAAAGGAACATTTAAAGAAAAGGTGATCAACAGTCTCCAAATGTTTCTTACAGAAGCAGCAAGATCTATCCATTTCCACATATGATAGGTTGTCACAGGTTGCAAGTCTATTTCTAAGGCCCAACCAAAGAATGAATGAGTACTTTGGTGGAATATAGTTCTTCCAAATTAGGTTCATCCAAGGTTTACTATGACTTTTTACCCTTAAAATGTCATATACCTTACCAGATTGCAGACTGCCTTGATAACAAAGAGGATTCAATTTCTGCACGATGGTTCCATTTTGCCCTTCCAGTAATGTGATTAATGTATCCCTGGTCTTAATCAGCTTGTTGAACAAAGGAGAAACACCAGATGGAGGTGTCCACTCCCATATAGAGCATCCTTTGAGATATACACTATGGATCCATTTGACCCAAAGTGTATCTTTTTTACAGTGAATGTTCCAACGTGTCTTCGACAGTAAAGCTGAATTCCAAATTTTACAGTCCTTCAATCCCAGACCACCCTCCTCTTTAGGCTTACAGACATCAACCCATGCCACTTTTGCATTTGGCCCACCCCACAGAAACTGTCTACAGTGAGATGTGATCTTTTCAATAACCGCCACAGGAATTGGAAATACTTGAATCCAATAGGATTGAATACCTTGGATAACCGCTCTAATTAGCTCCAATCTACCTGCATAGCTCATATTCTTGGTTTTCCACTTCAGCGTAAACTTTTCAATCTTCTCAATTAGTGGAGAGTATTGAGCTATTGATACCCTAAGGGGAGCTAGGGGTACCCCCAGATATCTTACTGGGAAAGCTCCTTCGGGAAATCCCACAACATTAAGGATGATCTCTTTCTCCAGATTGTTAACCCCTGCTAAAAAGATGTTAGATTTAGTAACGTTAATGCCAAGGCCAGAGACTTCATGGAAGTCTTCCATACACTTCATAAGAATCTGGACAGATTTTACATCACCCCTTGAATAGAGCATGAGATCATCTGCAAAAATCAGGTGAGAAATTTTCATCTTGCTACATTTCGGGTGAAAATTGAAATCTGGAGTAGCGGTTCTCATATCCAATAACCTTGATAAGTACTCCATACAAAATAAGAAAAGTGTCGGGGACATTGGGTCTCCCTGCCTCAATCCCCTCTTTCCCTTAAAAAAACCATGCATTCCACCATTTATTGATATAGAGTAGGTGGGTGTGCTACTACACTCCCATATCCACCCAATGAACCTCTGGGGTACACCCAAATGTTGTAAGATAGCTCTCAGAAACTTCCAATTGATTGTGTCATAAGCCTTCTTCAAGTCAACTTTCAGTAAGCACCTCGGAGATATTGACTTCCGAGAGTAACCTCTAACTAGCTCTTGTGCCAGAAGTATGTTGTCGGTGATTCCCCTCCCCTCAACAAATGCACTTTGGGATGGGTTGATGATATCATCCAATATAGGTCCCATTCTTCTTGCCAATATTTTTGATATCACTTTATAAATGACATTAGTGCATGAGATTGGCCTGAAATCAGCAGTGGATGGATTGTGGGAAGTCTTAGGAATTAGGGCCAATGAAGTATGGTTGATTTGTTTTAAGAGCTTCCCATGTGAAAAGAACTCAAGCACAGCTCCTGTAACCTCACTGCCAACTAATTCCCAATTATGTTTGAAAAACCCTGAAGAGTATCCATCAGGCCCAGGCGCCCTATCCTCCCCAATTTCAAATATTGCATTTTTCACTTCCTGTGGAGTCACTGGAATCATTAATCTTTCTGCCGTCTCCTGATCAATTAACCTCCCATTCTTCACTACCCTGTCATCAATAGGTCTGCAGGGGTAATCAGTACCCAAGATGCCTTCAAAATATGTAGTGAATACCTGGATAACCTCTTTGTGGGAAGTAGTCATTTGTCCATTATCCTTCTTCACAGCTGCAATACAATTTCTTGCTGTATTACGCTTTGCTATGGCATGGAAGTATTTAGAGCACCTGTCAGCTTCCATAAGGTGTGTGACCTTCGCTTTTTGCTGGAAGAAGGAAATTTCAGCTTTAGAGAGAAATGCAGCATTTTTCCTTGCCTGTTTGACTTCTTCAAGAAGGGCCTGGTTATTCGGATCCTCCGTGAGCAACCTTTGACAGTGTTTGAATCTTTCTTTAGCTTCCTTAGTTCTAACAGAAATGTGTGCAAAGTTTGCTTGGTTTAAACATTTGAGTGGTCCTTTGAGAAGTTTCAGTTTATTGCAGACTTTATATTGAAAATATCCTCCAATTTCTGCCTCCCATATGTCTTTCACAACTTTTTTAAAGCTTGGATGCTGCATCCACATATTGAAGAATTTAAAAGGTTTGTGTCCGATATTGTTGAGAATATGGCTCAATATGCTCCCCTTTTGGAGACGGTTAATGATTTTCTAAAAACTTGGAATACTAAGACTATTTCCTATGCTGGTAAGCTTGAGCTAATTCGGTCTGTGATCCAAGGGGTCCAATCATTTTGGCTCCAGGTCTTCCCGGTTCCCATTACTATTTTGGATAGGATTGTTTCGATCTGTCGTATCTTTCTATGGGGTGGTAAGTATGCCAAGGTGGCCTGGGATGACATCTGTCTCCCTAAAGAGGAAGGGGGTCTGGGCATTCATAATGCCAAGGTGTGGAATCACGCCCTCCTCGCTCGCACCCTTTGGGACGTCCACATGAAGAAAGACACCCTTTGGGTGAGGTGGGTGAACGGGGTCTACCTTAAGTGTAGGACCGTGTGGGACTTTGTCCCACACACCCGGGACTCACAGCTCATGAAGCGGTTGAGTCTCATTCGGGATAAGATTCGGAGTTGCTTTAATAATTTGAATGATACTATCTTAGGCCTTAAATCTCGTACCACTAATGGAAAATTAGCCTCCGCTAAGATCTATGAATTGTTAAGAGTCAAGGGTGAAGTTAGGACTCCTATGAGTTTCATATGGAAATCCTACATCCCCCCAAAACTCTCTTTTAACGTGTGGTTGGCCTTGAGAAACCGACTTCCTACCCAGGATAGCCTTGGTTATCTCCACATTGTAAACAGGTGTGACTTATGCAAGGGTGGTTTGGAGACAATACCACACCTCTTTTTCCTATGCCCATTTACGTGTAGGATATGGCAGCAGATAAGGAATTGGATGGGACTCGGGCATGATATGACAACGTTGCTAAGTGCAATTAAGTGGATCACGAAGACTCATAGAGGATCGAATATGAAGGCAAAGGCTGCTCGTATTGCTTTTTGTGCGACAGTTTACTACATTTGGCATGCAAGGAACGAAGTTAGATTTGATGATGGCAAGAAGACGGAGGAGGACATTATAGCAAAGATCAAACACGTGGTTTACAAGATACTCTTTAGTATCTACCCGCATGAGTTGGTCACCTTTTGACATGGACGCTTTGAAGCCTCGGCTTTTATGGATTTGTGGATCTGTGTGCGTGCAGTCTTGCAACATCGATTTGTTTTTGACGTGTTGGGGCATTTAGTATTGTATACTTAGGCCCCAGTTTTGATTTTGACTTTGGGATTAGATCAAATAAAAACCTCTCCTAATCCCTACATTAGGTAGGGGTGGGGGGCTTTAGGAGATCTTGAACCTTTTGATGTATATTTTCTTGGGTGTTAATATATATTTACATTTCATCCAAAAAAAAAAAAATAAAAGGTTTGTGTCCTCCTCGTTCATTACTCAAAAGAGATATAATAATTGGGCAGTGGTCAGATATGTCATCAAAGCTCAGGTACTCCGCGACACAATTTAATTCATTAGCTTTCCAGCTTTGATTAACCATGACTCTATCCAATTTCGCCCATCTATTACCTCTATTCCATGTGTAATCAATTCCAATAGAAGGTGCATCTTCCAGATTAAGAACATTCCTACAATTCATTAGGTCTTTAATGAAGTAGTCTGTAGGATCCTTACTACCCATCCTCTCTTTAGGGTAGCAAACACAGTTAAAATCACCCATCAAAACCCATGGGTGGTTGATATTCAGTCCAAGGTTAGTGATTTGATCCCATAATTGTCTCCTCTCCGCAACAGTATATAGAGCATACACTATAGTGGTTAGAAAAGATAATTGTGTGATCATACATTGCACCCTGCAGTGGATGAACTGCTCTTCCACTTCTAATATCTCACATTTTACCCTTCCTGGGTCCCAGACAATAGCTATTCTGCCTCCCCCAATCCTGTCAAAATTATTGCTTTCCTTCCAACCTCTCAGTTTATTTTCCGCAATGGACTCCAATCTCTGGGTCTCTCTAAGCTTGGTCTCCAGTAAACAACAGAAAGAAATATCATACTTTTTAATATAGTTAACTATAGTACTAATTTTAGAGGCTTTATTAAGGCCTCTTACATTCCAAGAGAGCATCTTCATTAATGATGAGGGTTTAAACCACTGCCTCCCACTTCTCCTCTTCCTCCACTTTCTCCCTTAGCTGGCTGCATATTATTAGATTTCACCTTCTGAATCCCCTCTAGGTCGCAATTCATCTGCCCTGGTTTGAGAATATTTAGTATAGTGCCGCCACAAGGTGTACTCTTGGTCTTTGGCTCACCTTGCACCCTTCTCTGTTCAGGAGATATAAATTGTCCCTTTTTTATATTCTTCTCCTTATCCAAAAAATTTTGCCCTTTATTAAATGTCCCCTTGCTGTTTGTTTCCTTCCTTTCATTAGATATTTTCTTAATAATTGCCGCCCCCTGTCCTTCACTAGATGTCGGTATATCTGTCTCTAACACCTCCTCAGAATTAACGATGTTTGGACTTGTATTATCGGTGGGCGCAGTCTTAACGTGTCCTTCCTCACTGACTTCCAAGGGACCAACACCTTTACTTATAGGCACACCCGAACCTTCCTTCATTTTCTCCTTTCTGAGTTGTTCCCTTTCAAGTTCATGCAGCACTTTACATGTAAAGGGATGGTGGCCGAATTGCTTGCAATGGAAGCAGTAGTTTGGAAATGTTTCATATATCACTAACTGAGTGTAAAATCTACCTGACTTTAATCTCAGTTTGACTTGAAGTGGTGGAGGTTTGGAGATATCCACTTCAATGAGAACTCTTGCATAGTCAAGTTTGGTTTTATCATTGGTGACCCCATCAGTGAGTATGGGTAGCCCAACCTTTGATGCTATTACACTAATCTTTTCTTCATTCCAGCACTGCACTGGCAATCGTGGGAATTTAACCCACAAGGGAACTTTAAGAAATTCCTCATCCTCAAAAGAAAAATCCTCAGAAAGTTCCTTCAACATTAGCATCCTTCCAATAACTTCATATGGTCCATTCATCAACACTTTTGTTCTTTCTTCCTCAGTTTTAAATTGGAAAATAATCCAGCCTCTTGAATGTGGTAACAGCTTGCACCTAACATCCCAGCTATCCATAAGTTTATAAACCGCTTTCAATCCAGGAAATCTGCCAGTAAAAAACCCAACCAGACAATATCCCCATACCTCAATCATGTTTAATGGTTCTCCTACACTCATGTCAACATAGTCACCCTCCGTTGGAATATATTTTAGTTTCATACCTCGGGATGGTGCTCTATTATCCTTAAAGAGCCCTGCCCAAGACGGTTTGCTGCTTGTTTCCTTCACTGGTTCAGCATTTAAATCAAACACCTGGTGTGCATTAGTTGTTTCATCATTTCCATCTTGGGAGTTCTCCTCTTGTGCATTCAGAACTTGATTTTCCTCCACTTCCTCAACTACCTCTAGGTGAGAGCAGCTATGGTTCCCCAAGGTTTCTTTTTCTCTTTCACTTATCTGGACATCCGTGTTAGTACTTGAGCTTGACCTAGCATCTCCAACTTTCTTATTGCTACTCGGTGTTTTTGAGTGTTTAGTGGTATTTCGTCCTTTCCCCATAGGGGAAGGTCGGAAAGAAAATTTATTGAAAGCCAGTGGGAACGAGTAGAAGAACAGGTGAACCTATGTGCCGAGAATCATAAATTTTCAGTGAAGTTGGCATCCAGGATTTTAGGAGCTCCAAAAATCCTAGAGAGATAAGCTCTCAAACCAACTAATATTTTGCTTTCTTCTTGATCATATTGGTGCCAATGTACAGTTTTGTTTCTGCATGATAGTGATGCTTTGGAGTTTGGGTTATCTAGCTAATGTTTTCTTCCATCATCCAAAGAACTACTACGTCCATCCCAATTAATTGCGTTGTATATAGTTACACACACCTTAATAAAGCGATTAAAAAGCGATTAAAAAGATGAAAATGATGTGGATCACATATTTGTTAAAAATTGAAATATGACAATTATTTTGAGACAACAAAAAAGGAAACCATTATAAATATTATGGGCACTGGTATTACATTTAGGCTATGTTTGGGAAGAGGATCACAATCTTATACCAGATTGTTGAATCGTAAATTGCCAGAGTACCCCAAGTAAAGGGTGGCCGGAACAGGCCGGCTCAAGCTCTTCAGGTCAAAGATCAGATCTAGTAGCAAAAAAGAAACTCAAAGGCAAGAACACTTTTATAAACAATTTGATTATATGGTTGATTATGTCATACAAAACATAGCCTTAAATGTCAATTAAACACATGCTACACAGTATTCAATAATCACCTAATCAAACTCACTAACTTGTTAAGAATAATCAATTACTCTAGCCTCGGAAACAACCGATTTACAGGTGAAATGCCCAGTTACTCACGTAGCTATTGATATAGCAGACAGCCACACACCAATCTAATTGACCAAGTATGATCTCCGACTTCTTACCACACTTTAGGTCTACTCTCTAGTGTACCTCAAGGAAGAGGCATCTTGGGAGGCCTCAGACCAGTGCCGCGGGTCAAAACAACCTGCCACATATAAGCACCAGTGTCCTGATGGATCCTGGATCCATATCCAGCTCAAGGTAAAAACACCAGCTCCGCATACACATTATGCGGAACAACTTCCAAATGCTAGTGATGAGAGAATTATTTTAAAGAATCAAACAAAATAAAAAAACCGAACAATCACCGAGAAATTCATTATTTTGTGTTTGGTTTTAGTTATTTTGTAAATCTGGTTATTATGCTTGCAGCTTGACATTTGACGATTCGGATTCAGTAACCATCCTTACCTAGGTGTATAGGCCTAGGTCCTCTTTGCTTGATAATGGGTGCTTGTTAATCCCGTCCCGATTCCAATTTAACTATTTTAGCTCAGCTCATACTAATCAGAATGGCTGACCAGTCGACCAGACCCCGGTTAGTTTACACTGTTATATATAGTCTCACCAGACTACTCCATTCAGAATATCATATATGAAACTCGTCATCTATGTACACTTGCAAATGAAGGAATTCATATCTGACAACCACATCAGCTATACACGTTCAATACAACAGCTATTCTATACAGCAGCAGACAGGCATGCTCTTCAGCAACAAGACCTGCCTAATTACTAATACCTCAGGTGAAGACGGAAACCCTAGCCCATTAAATGGAGAGCTGCACTAAGCACTGGGCAGCAGCTTATCTTCCCCAATCAACCATCTAGTCAACTGGCTTGGATCACCGGCCAAAGCTTTACATGACTCAGGGAAAATCCCAAGATCATCACCGATCTTGCCATACCCAATCAGTGCGGTCTCCATCTCTGCTTCAACAGCTGCATCATCCACCATGGCATCAAGTGAACCCCTACATAAAAGGTTGGCATAGTATTTCTCTTTCTCTGAATCATTACCAAACGGTTCCATTGCAGGACCCTGTTTTTTGCATACCACATAATTTCCAAACCATCAAGGAAAACATCAAATATGTTTCATATAAGTAATATAACTATCTATGATAACACACACACATATATGCATGTGCATGACATGACCCAAAAATGTTAAAGACAAGAAAAAAATTACGTAGTAAATGTCCATACTTGAATAAGTTCAGCATAATGTCTGTAGATTTCACTGGTTTCGTCTTGATCACCAAGCAACGTACCACCATACCAGCCATTTGTTTCATTTACTGTGGTCATGTCAAGATATCTGAAGAGAATTGGAGCAAAAGCACATCATAATCAATTTACCATGTATGATAAGCCTTTTATGTTTTTTCATATTTTATTTACAGGAGCAAAAGCATATTAGATCTCCATATTCAATGCTTACACGGGTTTCTTCGCACAGGTATAGCAGGGCTAAATGTTATTCATTGTAAACTGATCCATTATAAAGATGGGCATGATTCTCATTAGTCATTACTATAGTCTTATGACACGCATAGGAAATCAGTTTCACACTTTCGCATTAGATTTAATGATGTGAATCTTTCAGGGTAAAAAAGAGATTTGCGGTGTATAGGATAAGTATAACTTTAAGTGTCCCTTATGTCCACGTATAACTAAACCACTAATTTTTCTCATAGGCCCTCAAATGAAAAATGTAAGATATTAAAATGCCTCACAAGGAAATTGCGCTTATTTGTTTAGGCCTTTAGGGTCCATTAGGAACCAGAAAATGCTAGGGAAAGAAAACAGGGAGAAAATACTAAAAAAATGAAGGAAATAAAATGCAAAGGAAAATAAAACATTTAGACATACTCAATACATTTATTTTTATATTTCTGTTAAATAAGGACTAAGATATCAAAAAAAAATAAAAAATGAAAAACATTATTCTTATTCCAATTTTTCTGGTAATATAAAAAATCTCCATAGCATTTCTCCCCAATCCCCCCTAACGTCTTCAAAGAACATATTCTTACGGGACAAAAACAAGGAGCCAAACCCAAGAGTCATACAACTAACTCTGTCCAGTAAATGGCAGATCTGGGTACAGGTTCACATAGATTATCTGGGAAAAAACCTTTGATAGATATCCTCTTCAGTGGTCGCAGTAATGGTAGAGAGCCAACTATGATCACATAAGGCATCTTTTCTCCTCTCATTCCAGGAAGCACCACTAGGAACTTCATGAGAGCCCAACTTGGATGCTGTATTACTATCTTCATACTTCCTCTGCCCAAATAGCCAATTTGGGCTCTTAAGTTGTATCTCACTGCAGTTATACATTGGGTCAACACTGCTGAATGCCATCTCAGAAAGTTTATGCTGCTATATTTAAAGAACTTACGCCGCATCAGGAGCAACTCCAGAATTTCCAGACTTTTGTTCAGTGTCACTGCAAAGACGGACATTTTTTATATAACCGCACGTTCTTTCCATCAGTTTATCAAAAGAAGTATACTTCTTGCGTGAGAAGTCCTCCCTGCAAGCTGGAATAGGAGCCAGAGTAGTCCCCGGTCCAGCAGGCCTTCTCTCAACGGAAGAACTGTAAATTGACGTTCAGTAAGTCTTAAGGAGTGTTTGCGATTGCTTTTACTTAAAAAAAGTGATTTTTTAAAGTGATTTTAGAGAAAGTGCTTAATAGTAAAAGTAGGTAGTGTTTTAGAGTAGAAGTGATTAAAGTGAAAAAGTAAAAGTTGAAGTGTTTGACAAAAAAAGTGATTATTGATCTAAAGTTTTATTAAAGTACAAAAAAAAACTTGCATTAATAAAATATATATTAATCAAAATAACTGTTTTCTCGATACCAGTCTACAATACATTATATAGGCCAACCTCTCAGAAATGCTAAACTAATCATGTGGGACAGCGTGACACATTGTAGCCATAAAAGCCAATGAAATGATGAATTAATTAATTGACAGCGATAGTAATACTTTAACATAAAAATGTTCCTCATTTCCTCTAAGGGTAGTAATTTAATAATGTCCATCGAACAAAACATTGTCAAATAATACAACACATGCATCACTCCACAAAGAAGATATTAATTAATACTGTGTGCATCCCTGGAAGGCTGGAACTAAAAGGCGAAACTTATAGGTCAAAGCTTGAACGAAGACTTTCACTTCAATCAACAAGGATTCTATACAGTTCGTAAAATGCAAAGTTAAGTCACAAAATATTTACCTTTTCTCTGGAACAAGGTCATCTCCAATACCAGAAACATGAAGATAATAATCAGAATCCAACTCCCAAAGTGCAGGTTTCCCCTCCTGAGGTTGGAAATAGCCCAAAAATCTGGGAAAATATTGATTAGAACGATGGTCTTAAGCTACCCAAATTAAGTTCTTACAGACATGCTGAAACAAGATAGTCTAACAACTTCCTACAACTCAAATGGTCATATTTGACAAGGACTTTAGTAGAGAACAACTTTGACAAGATCATGTTAGCGAGAAAATATTAAAAAGGGGAAAATAATTGCAATGGTTGGGTTTTTACAAGTTAATAGCATCTTGCTTTTCTCCATCAGTATATGCATTGCTATAGTAGCGTTTGATAGACTTCAGAAATTCCCTTGACTGGGTTGTAGCTTTCCACTTTCCCTGCCTTTCAGGAAAGACCTATTTGTTCACAACAAAGTCTACATATAAGCTATCTCTTACTGAACGAAGATTAGCAAATTCCATAAAACCAAGTGCTCCCTCCACCTCTTATAACTTTGCCAAGTTTGATAGGCACGTGAAATACAACAACAACATCAACAACAACATCCAAACCTTAGTCCCAAAAGAGTTTGGGGTTGCCTAACATGCATCGATATACGAAACCGGAGCTAAAAAGATAAGATGAGATAAAAAATACTAACTCCGGTTCTTTTTTAGTTGCAACATGTTGAATTTTACACTATTCACATGCTCTACTTTGATTACATTTTATTTATTGATGTATTATAAATTTAATTTTTGAAAACTAATGTTAAATTCCTCTCTTTTTAAATTTTCGAAATCAGATTTTTTTATTTTGTTACTGATAAGGAATGACATATACTACTGGTCAAGCTTGTGCATTGGCAAACGTGAAAATGGACACGTTGCAACTAAAAAAGAACAAAGGAAGTATAAGATTAAGATAAAAAGACAAGATAAAGAGATAAAGAAGATATGAAAGATAAATAAATAAAAAAGATAAACTGAGATCAATCCTCATTTCACGTATGCCCATGAAATAATAAAGTACTCCGTAAAAGCTATTTGGTTGACTAAGGTTTGTGCAGAGAAATAATAACCACAAATTATTTACTTAAAAGAGAAAGTGACAAATATTTATAGACAACAAAAAAAGGAAAGTTGGCAAAGTTATAAGGAACAGAGGTAGTATTAAATTTGACTAATACAGTGTTATTCATACAGTGTTGTGAGCTGCAGAGCCACCATACTGTTGTGCTAGGGCATCACCCATGCTCTGGTACATATCCATGAGAGCCGAGGCAATGCTGCTACTGGGATCCACTTTGGGCTTATCAGTCAATGCCATTGCATGTAATTGACGGCCCAAAGCTTCAAGACCATATGCATATTGAGCCACATTTGTCCGGTCCAAGCAATCTATGCAATTTGTGCGGAGCACTCCACTTTGAAACCATGGTGCAACATTAGCACTGTTATCCTTGCCAATCTGCCTATTACTATCTATATCTTTATCTAGTTTGCTCAAGGAATTAAATACATCGTTACCACTACCAATCCTGGACAAGTCCCCTGAACTAGCTCTCATATCCCTTAAAGCAGATTCCCTGCATGAAGAGAGGATATACACAAAAGTAAACATTAAAATTATCCTGGAACAAAGAAGCCCATGGTGAATCTGAAAAAAGGTTCACAACTACCGAGGAAAGTAGCAACTTCATTCATAGAACTGTAACCATGTACACACAATCACATAACAAATCAATCAATTTTATGAGAAAAAAGAACCTGAGGTCCTTTCGTCTCACAGCATAATGGATGAGAAGAGTACAAAATGAGAAGTGCAAAAGCAAGCCTTTTAAGACTTCCAGTTAATCAATGAAGTAATGATTTCTCAATTCTCAATGAGAAATATACTTAAAGCAAGCGAAAGGCAAACCCATGTTTGCAACAAGAAATCACCCTCCACATAAAAGAACTCGGTGAGGATTTAAGAACCAATATGGCTCCAAAGTAACACATCTAGTTAATAATGATGCATAACTTAACATGAAATAATACAACCACATACACCCTACTCACCCAAAAAAGGAAAAAAGAGATCACACTTAATTTTCCCTTTTTCTCCTGTATACTTCTCTTTCACATCCATCACACAAGCCCATGAACTGATATAAGAGTCACACAAATTTATCTACTCATTTATACAAACAGTTCAGCAAAACTGCCCTGACGTGGCCTATATTACTCAACAGGTAATGATATTCTGTGGGTTTTTTATTTTCTAAATATTTTAATGTTAAATCCAGGTCGTCCTGTTTCCTTTCTTTTTTTTTCTGCCAGTATCCAATCCAGCATACTTGGAGTAGTTGTCAGAATCTTTACAGGATTACCGAAACAATTAGGTCCACCAATAGATTGGTTCAGGTAGAGAACACTATCTATTAAACATTTTTTTATTGAAATTACTTACCACAAAGAAACTTTGAACGTACACAAGCACCCAAATAGCAATAATTTTTATTTTTATATCATTGAATAGCCGATATCAGCCAATACTAGCTTCAAATACAAATGACAGAGTTCTCCTACTGAAAGCCAACACGAAAGCAATTTACCAAAACCCAAAGGGAAAATCACATCAGTACCTTCCAGTGCTTGTCCGGCTTATTTGAGTAACTCGCCTTTTGTTGATAAAAGACTTCCCACTATAGTAAAACCCATTCAAATCTAGGGCTTCACTCGCCACACCACCCAAAACTGCTAACACATTTGCCGATTTGCTTCAAAAACAGGAAAAAATCAGCACCAAAGTGTATAAGCAAAAGGGAAAAAAGCAACATATCTACCTCTTTGCAAATTTGTGAAAATCCCAGTGTATGAACTTAAGTTGACGTTCCTCGGTAAGAATTTGGTTCAAATACCCAACCGCATTTGCAAACTCACGCCTCAGCATCATTTCTCGTGGCCTTTTCTCTACTGTCTGAAATCAACAACTGAATGTGTAAAGATGGAAGTGATTTCTTATACAGAGGAAATACTAGAGTGGAGTACTATTAGACGGGTAATTTATACTCCCTGCCCCTCCCACACAAAAAACACAACTAGAGATAAAGAGCGTGGTAGGATTTTTTTTTTTGTTTGAAAAGTTACAATATAGGTAAATGCCTACTGGCTCAATCTTCAAAGAGACACCCATAATATTACAAATGCATATAAAAGATATATATGTCCCAGTTCAGTAAGCATCATTGAGATTTCCTAATATTTAACTTCGGTACTAACTTTTATTAGATTAAGTACAATGATGGGGTTTCCGTATCTCCTTGCCAAGTCATCAAAATGCATCTTCGTAGCCTCATAAGTTGGATCATATCTTTGTACTAGATTCAGCAGCAGCAGCAGTGCATAGCACACACAACCCAAAAACATTAAAACAATCAAACATATACTATAGAGGAGTGATACAAATCAGGTAAATAAATGAAATTGTTCTTACGGATTATATCTGGTTTCGGACTGAATCGTGAAGCCTCTTGAGACCAGAAAAGAGGTATTGAACCCCTCATTTGCACAACAGAACTCATCCTTCCTTTGCATGACCCAGCTTCTTCGTCTAGAACAATTTGCTCTGTTTCTACATCATTTGCCACTCTTCCATGATCGTTAACTCCCCTTTTCAAGTAGCTGCAACCATTTATAAATAAATTGGTAAGCGCTAATTGTCAGAGATAAAAAGATGGTGTATACACACACATACGTGCTTGTATTTTGTCTCAAAATCCCTATTACAACCTCAAAAATACATGTTACACTGTTTGAAATTGATTAACTACATGTCGATAAGCAAGGCTTCTTGTAACTATGCTTCAGAGTAACTAGCCAACTAAAACAATATAAACAAGTAAAAGTCACAACCGTTTCACCGAAATAACCATCGCAGTGAATGAAGAATGATAGCAAGACTAGATTTAATGAATCAGAAGAGAAATTCAACAAAAAGATAACATTACACCACAGTAGATGGCCACTCAATATTGGATTTTTTCTGGAAACACATAAGAGGGAGTAAGGGGTATGTGCACTGCATACCCAAATAGGTCAGAAGGGACACATAACTGACCTGGGTAGCTGTTCTTCCTCCTTAGGTCCTTCCCTGAACTTAGCAAATATTAAAGGAAAACACATGCAGTCGAATAAAAATATAGAATTTTGAATCATGATTTTTTTAGACAAATAATGACAGGCAGAACCGCAGAACAAAAAAGTGAACTGACTGAGTAAATCTCCAAGGCATCCTTGAGATATGAATTACAAAGGATCGCCAAAATTTAAGAACATGAATAGTAACTTGCAAGCATGCATTAAGTTGTAGATGAAGAAACCGAAATACATTAATGAATGTCAAAACTGTTGAATGTAACACACAATGAGCAGCCCTACAGCACACCCTATACAACACCAGCACACATTTAGCACCGCCTGATTTTATAATATAGGTGTGGTTGTCTCCTTAAAATGCCTATATATATTACGCTGTTTGTAAACTAAAATAAGGTGTGGTAGATGAAGTTATGTTGAAGTAATGTTTCAGAGTTTTAATACCATTATAAATTTATAACAATAGTTTCTGGTCCATTAGAGTTAATATGTATTTACATCTACCACTACTAATACATGCACGATTACATTCCACTTTTAGCTAACTGTACTCCGCCACCATCTACACATAATCGCACAACTTTATAATAATACTAATAATGATAGTAATTACTCAAATAATGGAAATAGTTACTGTTCGGAATATAAAAACCGAAGAAACAAAATAAAAGAAAACAAAAGCATGAGGTGAACAGCCCCTTAGATTTTCTCTTTTTTAATCAATATTTTCTATTTCAAAATCATTAACATAACAAGATTTACAGAGTATGCAGCCCAATTCAAAAAACTATTGCAGTAGTGGAATATCTAATTCATACCGTGTCCCAGCAAAATGTCTAGAACGTCTTGCGACCAAGGACACGTTGAAATCTCTTCCAAATATTGATAGCCTGGCCTGCAACCAAATGAAAATAGTAGGGTTAGAATATTAAAGTAAGCAATCCTCCAAAAATGTATTGGAATGGGAAATTAATTGAGAATGAAAAGAATGCTTCCATTTTATTCTATTTTAAATATATTAGCTACTTTAATCAAATGAGAGAGAAAGATATTGAGAGCGAGTGTTTGTATTGCCTCAGAAGTTCAATATTTAATGAATTAATATATTTCGTGTGTTTCTTGCAACGACAATGATTACCTTATATGTTTCCTTCACAATAACTTTTAAGGAACTTTTATGCATACAGAGCATGAAAGAAGAGAATAACCACACATCTAATTTATTCTTAGCAATGAGTTTGCTGGACTAAGATGCGCTTGTATTGGAATGGGAAACAGTGACTTCATTACTCAAAAAGAGGAATCAAATCACATATTCAAACTGCGTAAAGACTTTATAAGATGAAAAATAGATGTATAGTTTTAGTAAGCGGAGTGTTTGTATGGTTGAGGGTTTGAAGTTATTCTACTAAACATGTTTCCTCTTCTTTATCTTTATTTTAAATTATGGCAAACCAAAGCAGTAAAATGTTTCAAACTATAGAAAAGTAACTACCTGCCTAAAGTGTCCATGAACCAAAGCAATTGTCCACATGGTGTTCTTACATCTTGATCTAATTGGTTCTGTTAGATAGGCATTCCAGACAAAAATATTGTCATATGGCATCCCTTTCTCACTCATTGACAATACATTCTTTTGCAAGCTGCACATTATAGGATATGTATGACTATAGAAAAAATCCTTAGTCAAGTCAACGCTGGATAGAAGTTTTTTGTACCTACATGTAGGAATAGACAGCAAGATAAGTCAAGTAAAAATATACTGTTTAACAAAGCATATCACAAGGCGAAAGGAAGCTGACCATCAAGAAGGAAAATAGAAGGTTTGCATTCATTGAGACCAAAATCATACCCAAAATAGAGTTTCCACTTCTCTTAATTTTCATTTGATTATATTTTTGGTTGGATACTTGGATACATGTAAAGCAAGAACGATTCGTTTGTTTAATCAGACAGGGAGAAATAAATGCAAGCGTCTCGGTACTCTGAGACAGATCAAGAAATGTTATGGAGCATGATTAAGGGCAATATCATACATGGAGCAATAAAAGCGCATCTTAGTCCAGCAGTCCAGGCCCTCTTTTTTAGTACAAGAAGTCACTGTTTCCAGGCTGGTCAATAACAGGAAAATTCGAAGCTGCTTACCTTTCATTTAAGGGGCAGTAGCATATCCCTTTATTTTTTTTTCCGTTTGACTTACAATGAATGGTGGGCGTAGGTTGTAGAAAAAATGAACATAAGGATCTTCATAACACGCTTCAAAGGTTCGGGGGGTAGTGAACATATTCTGAATGCCATTGGTATTCATATGTTATTTTAATTCTTATGGTTCTTTCTAAACGACAGCATCTAAAAGCCTCCTTCTTTACTCGTGGTCGAAGATAACAATATATAAATATATTCATTCATAGTCATTCTAATTTCAGCTTTTCAAGCAGGCGATTATAGCTACACTATAGACTAGAATGCTGTTGCTAAAAGTTCATAAGACATACTGCATACTTTCACTTGCATCATACATACAATATTCAATAAACAATAAATTATCACTCATATTACCGCAGCTCAGTTTTTGAATGAGCAAGATCAGTCTGAACAGATATGTGCGGAATCGTGATGATTTGGCTCTCATCTATTCCGTAGATGGCATGACCGCAAATACATCCTATTTGATGGCGCTTTGTCACTAATACAAGATAATATGACTCCAAGAATTTAATACAACCTAAAATTAAAAAATCGGCACAAAGTTAGGGTATATTTGTACAAAAATTGATTTCAACATTTTACAATTATCACTGCAGTTCAATTACCAACAATGCCATAAACTTTGGCCACAAAAGCCAATCCTCCAGTGGCTCGATTGCCGTCTGCAATCCGTTGCAGCAAACTTTTAACTTCTTTAACGGGGTAAACAACAGGATCTTCACTAATATTCAGTTCAGAAGGCTCCATTCTGTCTATCTTCAACACTCTGAAGATTTGCTTATTTCTATCGCTCCCAATCAGATAAAACCTCTGCGCACATAAAATTCAAGTATAAGAAACGGTATATTTCAGCAACTGTGATGCATTTATCATTCTTGATCAACTGCAGGGTGATAAAAATAGGAAAGTGAGACTTTGGAGATGCATCCGAAAAGGGATTTAATTTATTGATCTTTTTTAAAAGCAAAAACCTGAACCGAATTAGAAAACAATAAAAGAGAGCACATGACTTACGGCCTGAGTTTCATAGAGGCGAAATTTCTCAAGAGAATATGACGAATCGGCTTTGGTGCCATTGGTGGGTTGGGTTATGGGTGAATTGAGCTTCAGAGTTTCCGCAGACTTTGTCGTCATCCCGAGATGAAAGAGAATCAATTGCAGAAGAATGAAGAGAAGCTTATTCAGAATTCAGATATAACGATTTCTGTGCGAAAATTATCAGTTCTGATCACTGATGGGAGAGTATGTGAAGAAGTCGCATATTCTTATGGGCCAATTCCAATGATAACCGTCCCTCCTAATCCATAACGGAATTTGTCTCAATTTTTCAGCAGCTTAAAAACTTGTACTTTGCTTCCCACATCAGGAGTATTAGGGATTTAGGGTTAGCATGGGAGGGTTCTCAAATCCAAATTACCATTCTATGAAAATTTAAAGTAGGGATATCATCCCAAATATATGTAACACATGTTCCATATTGTACTAACTTTTTATACAATTTGGGACGGTTCTTCAATATCATTCAATTTATTAAATAATAAGTAGTATTTCGTAATATATCCTATTATGATACAACAAGATTATGATATATGTAATGTATACAAAATTACATATGGTTACTTTAGTAAATTTTTGTTATAGTGCACTTTGATGCATCAAAATGTCAATACCAAAATTATGTGTATATTTACCGTTGAGATTTTTGTATACCAAAATTTATACTTTGGATATGATGGAAAATTACGTATGGCATACATCTCCAGCCTTCCACACATCCATACGTCTAGTTGCCCAAGGGTTTAGACAACATGCTGGGGTTGATTTTCCGAAAAATTTAGTCATGTTGTCAAACCCACCATTGTTCGCATTGTTTTGACCTTAGCTATTTCATATAATTGGCATATTCGTCAACCGGATGTTAAAAATGCTTTTCTTCATGGTCATCTCACATAAGAAGTTTATATGGGTCAACCACCCAGGTTTATTCATCCCCAATTTCCTAATCATATTTGTCGCTTGCGCAAGGCCATTTATGGTCTCAAACAGGCTTCCCGGGCGTGGTTTCATCGGTTCAGTAGTTTTCTTTTGACTCATGGATTTGTGTGTAGTCGTGCTAATAATTCATTATTTATATTTCGCTAGGCTACTCAAATCATTTACTTATTATCGTATGTTGATGACATTGTTATTGCTGGAAATTCTTCTAATCTTATTAGTAATTTTATTTCTCTTTTAGGAAAATATTTTGCTATGAAAGATTTAGGGGATATTCATTTTTTCTTGGGGATGTTCAGGCTGTGCGAAATTCTTTTGGTTTATTTTCATCTCAGGCCATATATGTGTCAGATCTTCTTACCCGTTTTCATCTTCACACTCTTAAGTCGGTTCGCATGCCATTACCTAGCAGAACTAAGCTGTCTCTCATTGATGGTGAGTTACTTGTTGATGCTACGGAGTATCGTAACATCGTAGGTGCATTGCAGTATTTAACTATGACTAGACCTGATATTACATACTCTGTATGATGTTCACTTGGTTTCTCAATTTATGCATGCTCCTCGTACTTCACATGTGTTGGCTGTTAAGAGAATTTTCAGGTATCTACGGAGGGCACGATCACGCATGACATACATCTCTAGCTTTCCAGATATCCGCACTCTATTCTGGCATATTCTGATGCTGATTGGGCTGGTTGTCCTGATAGTAGCCATTCTACATCTGGTTATGCTATTTTTCTTGGTCTTAATTTGATTTCCTGGCGGTCCAAGAAACAACCCACTGTCTCCAGATCATCTACTGAAGCTGAATACAGAGCAGTTCATGATACATTACACATTCGATCCATCTTGTTCGAGCTCAGTTTCCCTATTTATCGCCATGTTCGTCTACTGTGTGATAATGTATCTGCATCATATTTATTTGCAAATCCCATCCAGCATGCTCGTAGCAAGCACATTGACATTGGTTATCACTTTGTTCGAGAACGTGTTGCTCATGGTGATCGCAGTAGGAACATACTGTACAATATGTTCCTACTGTAACACCGTCCCCAAATGTATTTACTTTTAAGTAAATAATGTAATGAAGCTTATTAAATGGTTAATGAATTTACGAAGTTGTAAATTTTTATTGTTTCTTACGCGTGAATAGTGAATCACATGTGGGACCCACATCAGGAGCGGGGGCCGCCTGATATTCCCGAGACCACATATTTTATTTATCTTGGTCTAGATAATATTTATATAGTGGTGGATATTTTATCGGGCCATGGAAAGGGCAAAGGGTTGACCGATTGGTCAAAAGAGGCTCAATTAATAGTACCGACAATTTATCAGATAGCAGCTCGAAACGAATTTCGGAGACTTCTAAATTAAAGTTTGGGAATATATATTATTTCAAAGGGTCATTATCATTGAGAGTAAGTAATATATTTCATTTGACCCGATAAAATGAAATATAATTAAAACAGTCCGAGAAATACAACTTTCGAGGTCAATTGTACACTTTGGGACAAATGAGGATGACCTGCCACATGGGTGGGGGCCACCCCACAAATTTTTCAACCAATGTGGGCTGATTGAGTGCTAAAGTGGCTGATGAATACTTGAAGGGATGGGGGAGACACCATTGACATCCAATGGACCCCTTTTCCTCACCCATTTGCCAAAAGAAACAAAAAGGATCATCTCTCTCTCCCTCCCACTCATTATTTCGGCCAGCACCAAGGAAAGGAGAAGAGAGAGCTCTCAAACCCCATCTTCAATAGCTAAAATCGAGCCCAAGCTCAAACAAGAGAAAGAAAGAAGTTTAAGGGAGAAAAAGTGAGGAAAAGGTGTGAATAATTAAGGTAATAACCTTATAACCACTTTCTAAAAAAACCTTATAACCACTTTTCTCTACTCTTTTGATGATTATATAAAATATACTACGTATATCATATGAAAAACTCTTAGGATTGTTCTACATGATACAAGTGTGGAAAAATGGGTTGGAAGGTGGTTCTAAGTCCAAGAACAGACTTAGGAGCCAAAACGACCGGTTCGCCGGAAAATAACCTTTTGGAGGTTATTTGTATTAATATGGGTTTCATGATTATAAAACCTTGTTAGACACTTGTAATAGGTATTTCAAGAGCTTTCACGAAGTTGAAAGAGTCACTGGAGTTGTCGCCGGAGTTCGTCAAAAGTCGTCGGAGTTTCGCCGGAGTTCAACCGAGAAGGGTAGAACTTCATAGCGGTAATCTATAGATAATACATTTCAAAGATACAATTATAGAAAGTTTTGACATGTGTCATCTTCTAAGCAAACATTCATTGTAGATCTCTTTCCAATTTAGTATATTACATAATTAATTAATTATGTTGCGTTAGAATATGACTTAAGTTAGATTAGGATTGTTACTATTACGTTAATTTATTTGTTAGAATAGGATTTAAGTTAGATTAGAATTGTTACTACACTTACGTTAGTTTATTTATTTGTTAGAATATGATTTAAGTTAGATTAGAATTGTTACTATCACGTTAATTTATTTATCAATACTAAGCTAATAGGTTGAACTTAGGAATCACTTCATTGATCCCAACCAAAAACATCTCTATTTTTTAAATTGATATAACTTTTTCATTTGTAATTTAACTTTTATAAAAAATATATCATAATTCGTGATTTTTTATTATCTTTCATATGACACCAATATTGAATATGTAAAAAAATTAAATATATCATACATCAAATATTATCAATGGAGTTAATAAAAAATTAAATTGATCAAAACCTATGAAATGTTAGGTCCTAGATTGATAGTTTTCATCATTCGAGTCCTGTTCAGTTAAATTGATCAATAATAGTCTCACATGACGGGCTACCTGTTCAGTTAATTATAATATCTTATTATAATAATCATAACTATCATCTTTCGACTTTTATTAGACCCAATAAATCAAATGATTAGTGGTTCTTTTAACTATACTTACTTTTTAGGTAGTTTATGGAATTAAAGAATATAGAATATATAGGTAGAGACTATAGAGTATGGATTTTGTTTTTATAAAATTCAAAATTAAAATGTTATTATATGTAAGATATTACAAATATATAAAATTGTAAGTTAAGTACAATTTAAAATTGAAAAAAGAAACCTAGATTCTTAAAATTAAGTAAAACAAAAAAACAAAAAAACTTATTTTAAATATCAAAAAATTATTAAATCTAATCATCCAAAAATACTCATTCATTTTAAAATTAGTTAAAAATCAATATGCTTAATTTTCTATTTGGAAGTGACACACTATAGGAGGATATATCCAGTCATGGACCATTATTGGCGAACAAGTCATATATTTGTGATTATACAAAATCATAAATAGTTGAGATTATTGTTAGTGGATCGACAATTATTGGAATTATTATTTTCAGTTTTCCCTTATTCATATTGTAATGCAGTTCGAGCCTTTACCCGTGCCGTGCACGGGTTAAAATAAAATTTATCCGGGTAGAAATTTTCTTTTAGGTCCCGGAATGATAATTCATCTATCTTTCAGGTCCCAAATTGATAAAATTCTATATTATCAAATCTACAGGCTTTGCCATGATAAGCTATATATATATATATATATATATATATATATATATATATATATATATATATATATATATATATATATATATATATATATATATATCACTATGAATTTTCCGTTAGCTTTCACTCCTTCTGGCATGTTAGAATTAACAACTTTTAACTGTTTTTGTAGATTTCCTCTATACTTCAATCATGTTTTCTCTTTTTAGATTTCAATTGCTTTATAAACTATTGACACGAACAATTGATAATAATAATAATAATAATTCAAATCGTTCCCGATCCACTCTTAATAATCCCAATGAGGCAAGGATCAAATATTTCAAAATAGTATCGACTTTAGGGACATTCTGTCAATAATAGTCTCACATGACGGGCTACCTGTTCAGTTAATTATAATATCTTATTATAATAATCATAACTATCATCTTTCGACTTTTATTAGACCCAATAAATCAAATGATTAGTGGTTCTTTTAACTATAATTACTTTTTAGGTAGTTTATGGAATTAAAGAATATAGAATACTATCGTATATAGGTAGAGACTATAGAGTATTGATTTTGTTTGAGTATTATTGGAATTATTATTTTCAGTTTTCCCTTATTCATATTGTAATGCAGTTCGAGCCTTTACCCGTGCCGTGCACAGGATACAATGAAATTTATCCGGGTAGAAATTTTCTTATTACATATGCTGTGCAATTTAATGAGATTGTGTTTGAGACAAATAAAATTAAATTTATTTCAATAATTGATTATATGTGTAATTAATGTTCTTACAATAAAATGATAGCTGAAATCAACTTATGTTTACATAAAGATGATTAAAAACTAATTTCATTTGGATACAATAGAAAATTAACAAAGACATTTTGAATTTCGCCATCAAAATGCTATATATAGAGAAATAGTGTGTTTGGACCGTTCAAAATAATATTCACTTGAGAAAAATGTATAATCATCTATTGTTATAATCATTTAAATTCACACTTAATTGCCGATAATTATAACTGACATGAACATATGTATATCATTACCTTTGCTCCAAAAATGGTTTGTCATAGTAACTTTGGATAATGATTTTAACAATTAAATTTGTATATAGTTTATAATGATTATGATTTTATGAAAATATTTTTTAATAAGGGACATTTTAATATAATTTTTATATTCAAAATAATTCGTATTAAAATATCATTAGTCAAAGTTGACTATAATTGATAAAGAAAAGTTAAGTTGACAAATCTTTTTGGGTTAGAGAAAGTAGAACAATATAAAAAATTAAATGTCCTTTTATCCTGTGCACGACACGGGTTGAAATATAATACTAGATATCAATTCATATCTTTTGATTCTAAATTGAACTGAACAACTTCAGATAAATTATATTTACACGGTAAAATAGTCTAACTTTTGTTTTAACATATTTAAACATTTAACTTACGAAAAGGATAACAAGAATATGCACAAAAGAGTGTACCAAGTGGAGATTTGTTAACTACTTTTTTCGTCCTTTATAAATTTGTCACATTTCTTTTATTTGTTGTTTTAAAAATTGTCATTTTCTCTTCTAATCAATTATTATGTGTTTCACGTTATTTCTTTCTCCTATACACAAATATCAATTACACAGTTTTTACTTTATTACTTTTCGTGCTGATCAAACTTGGAAAAGTTATAAAGGATAGAGAGAGTACTAATGTTATGTTTGAGCAACTTAAGGTCCCAATGAATCATATGGTTGTAATTCTATTATCAAAATATAATTGTAAAATAATTTAGTAGTGAAATTTTTTTTCAGAAGGTATATTTTTTCATTTTTACTCATATTGATTATAGATTTATAGGTGATGAAAATTAAAAAGTCGAGAAATTGAGATGTGGATATATTTTACGTATTATTTGTACATGAATAATCGATAGTTGAGCTTATCAAAAGCAGATTATTAATCATTGAGATTATTATTCTCATTCTTTCCTTTAAAATATGGTTAAATGTGGACATGATAGCATGACAAATATAGAACATGGTATTTGATAATCTAATGAAAGTTGACATTTTGTGAAACAAATTTTAGTTTCCATTGATTTAAGTATTTAACATTTTTCTACTTTAACCCCCCCGATGAATTACATACCAAATTAAAATGAGTGTCTTGATTAAATTACAAACCATTTAAGTGTCACTTGACTTTAACCTGCAGTATATGAATTATTGTTTAAAATCGATGGAAATAATAATTCATCATTTTTTATTTAAGTATAGAGGGTGGAAAAAAGTGATTTCCTTAGGATGAAACAAAATTGAGTTTTATGTGACAATGAACCAATTAGAGATCAAATTTCGATATCAATATATTTACTTGATTGTTCTTTCTCTTTATATAGTATAAAGCGACACTCACATCTTCAAATACTTTTCTCTATGTTCTATAATAAAACTAAAAATAATACTCCGTACTAAATTACAATATCTTTTACCCCGTGCACGGCACGGGTAAAAATACTAGTTTTATATAATTTGAGGTGAGTGGACGACTTAATGTCTTATAACTTTTGGGTTAATTATGAGATTGCCTAAATAAATGTTACATATGTTCATAATGATATAATGTTTAAAAGAAATTTAAACATGTGATTAGCCAAAGCGGTTAGACTTATATGAAAAGAGTTATTCGAATATGCATGAAACATTATATGAGAATTTTTATGAAAATATATGTTATGCTTGAATGATTAAGAATGCATTAAATGAATGTTATTAACTTAATGCACATGATGATTAAGTTTGATATGAATAATAATGTATATGACGGTCAACGGAACGTTGACCGGTCGTCCATGGGGTAACCTATACGGTTAATATTATTTATCCATGAATTAATATAAATGCATGGCATTGCATAAATTTATTGTTATAGGCTTATTGAATTGATTTTAGCCTCGAATAAATGATTATGATATAGACCTTATCTAGGAGGATAAGTGGTAGATCATATGAATCAAAATGGTGGAGATGTCCAAAGGCATTATTTAATATATTTTGGTTATACTACATAATTTAATATATTTTGGATATTTTGGTTATATTAAAACACATTATAATTGGATAATTAAAGTGTTGGAATGCCACTTTGACAAAAATTGTACACACTAGTGCACTACACATTCAATTTAAACAAATAGTTTAATAATTTACATCATAAATCACATGTGATGTTGTTATGTATGTTTACTACTAAGTATGGATGGATTATTTTTCATGAATTCTATTTATGAATTCCAAATGTGAGGCATGTCAATTTACTTCCGATCTCACAGACTCTTTCTTTCGTAAAGCTTGGCTTTGGGGCGTATACAGAGTGAATCTAAGCATGACTTTATCTTTCTTTCAGAACCTCTAGCTCTTTCTATTGATTACTACTCAAGTCAGGACTAGCGTTCGCACATCTCTTTTGAAAGGCTAAGATGTTTGTATTAGTACACGTGTAGTCTAGGGTAAAATGGGAAGGGAAATTACTTTTGCTAAGTTTCTTAATATGCGTGCCTTTCTCCATATTCCAACACTTCTACCTCGTATCATTCAAAAGGAGCCAAACAGGTGACCCGGTTCTCATGAATTCTATTTATATACTTCCTCCGTTCGGATTTAAATGCAACATGGAGAAAGGCACGCATATTAAGAAACTTAGCAAAAGTAATTTCCCTTCCCATTTTACTCTAGACTACACGTGTACTATTTGGACGGATAAGCTACCTACGGGTATGTGAGAACAATACCCTTTGAGACTTTGTAGAACCGGTGATTTTTATTAGAATGTATCTAGACCACCAGATTTGTGAGAAAGTGTCTGGTACACGATCTTGAAGGGAAGTCGCCGGAGAAAAAAGATTTGTCATCGGCGTTAACGATCTCAGGGGCCAGGGCGGTTCTCTAGATCCATTAATAGAAGAACGAAAAATTACGAATCTACGATGGAAAATTAAAGGAGAAGACTCAGAGACCAGAAATGGAAGAAGAAATTGGTTTTGCTGGAAATGAAGAACTCGTGAGTTCATATGATTTACAGATATGACTCCATAAGGTTAAAGTTGGAGGAAGAAGTATATTCATTTACAGATACAGATGGTTAAGCAATTAAAATGAATACGAAGTATTAAATGGTGTAAGGGTATTGGAGTCATTGCACCCCTCTTTTTCTTACCTAAAATGGAATGTTACAATTATTTTGAAACTGCCGAAAAAGATAAGTGTTGCATTTATTAAAGAACGGATGAAGTATATAGTGAATGGATGATTTGAGTTATAGATGAATGTAGTGTGTGTTTAGTAGAGCCATAGCATCCCCTGAGCACTAGCAGCATATCATTCGTTATGTGTGCAAGCATTTTTTGAATTTGATCACTTGATGTATATATTGCATACATCTTGAATAAAAATACTTAGTTTATATCTAGTATAGTATTATATATGTATATATTTGTGTAACTGGAACGTGTGTGTACCAGTGTGTGTGTGTATGTGTTATCTCAATTTGTTTTTGTATTTTATATCTTTAATTTCATTAGTTTTGAATGATGTTTCATAACAGGTTTTAAGTCAAGGATATGGCCACCTCAAATTTTGAACCGGACTATAATAGTTCATCTTCGAGTGATAATAATCTCTCACTTGCCAAACAATTAATAGATGATCCATTGAAAGATTCTTTTTTATCACACAAAGTTGTTTAGATGTGTCGTTGATTGTTTCTTCAATGGTGTCTGCTGCAAAATGCTCTCTCGAAGGTTAATCATCAAGTAGATGCTATATTCGTCGTGATAGGAAAGAACATCATTACCTAATAGTAAATAACTATTTCAAACGTGAAAACTCAAAGTACCCCCCACAACTTTTCCGTCGGAGATTCAGAATGGATATTGACTTATTCTCCCAAATTTTATAAGATGTGGAGAATTATTATAACTATTTTCGACAAAAGATTGATGTTGTTGGTAACATTGGGTTGAGCCCACTGCAGAAGATGGTAACAGCAATACACATGCTTGCATATGGATGTCCAGCTGATCATCTAGATGAATATGGGGGTGTTTGGAACTGATTCTGCTTCTGCTTCTTTTTTAAAAGCAGAAGCAGAATCTGAATCAGTTTTCAGAAGCTGGTACCTACCAGCTTCTAAAAAAACTGATTCTGAGAGTAAATAAGAGCACCATAAGTGCTTCTGGAATTTCACCCAAACAAGCTTCTGCTTCTGCTCCCTGAAGGAGCAGAATCAGTTTTGAAAATCAGGTCCAAACACCCCCTATGTTCAAATAGGAGAAACAACGACAATCGAAAGTCCAAAGCACTTTTGTGATGCTATTATAGGAATTTATGAAGCAAATTACTTGAGAAAACAAACCATATGGGTCATATTAAAATGCTCTTGAAAGGAGAGAGTCGAGGCTTTCCCGGTATGCTTGGTAGTTTGGATTGCATGCATTGGCAATGGAAAAATTGCCCCACTGCTTGGCATGGTACTCATACAAATGGTTTTAAAAGAGTTACAACTCTTATTTTAGAAATTATAGCTTCACAGAGTTTATGGATTTAGCACGCTTTCTTTGGAATGGTGGGTAGTAACAACGATTTTACAGTTTTAGACAGATCGCCATTGTTTGATGATGTAATTAATGGTGTAGCTCCGGAATACAAAATTATAGTTCGAGGTCACGAGTACAATATGAGTTATTATTTAGCTGATGTTATACATCCACAATATGCTACTCTCATCCAAACAATATCTCAACCTTCATCTATCAAGGAAAAGTTATTTGCAAAACTACAAGAATCAACAAGAAAGGATGTAGAACGAGCATTCGGTGTGTTACAAAGTCGGTGGCATATTGTTAAGGGCCCTGCTCGTCTTTGGAGTGCTAGAGACTTGGGGAAGATAATGAAGACATGGATCATCTTACATAACATGATAATTGAGAATGAGCGAACTCAAGGTATTGATCCTGAAGAGTGGCAGGCGGAAGGACAAGAATCTACTAAAAGTGTTACTCTAGAGCATGATTTTAATTTGATTATTTCAATGATGAATAATCAAACTAACCAGGTACAAAACACATGGTTGCATAGGAAATTAAAGAATGATCTCATTAATCATTTGTTTGAAGTATATGGAGGACAAGGTTTTGATGGATAGTTTCTTTTTAATTATAATAGTTTTATAGTTATTTATTTTGAATTATAAGTTTTTATAGCTAGTTGCTTTTCCGTTTTAATAGCCAATGTATTTTTATTTCATGAGCAATCTTTTTTAGAATAATGTAATGGTCTTAATAAGTCTCTAACATCATGGCTCTATATTGGTTTATGAGTGTACATAGTATATTTTACTTTGAAATGCTTCTCTTCTTATAATTGATTTTGTGAGCAGTCATTCTGCTCTACGTAGCTGATCACCTTGGAATGTGCTCCTCAATGATTGATTTAGTAATGACATCACATAATTTGGAAAGAAACAACAAATAGTTTAAATTAAAGAAACAAAATCGAAGTACTTCTAGTGAGAGCACCAATCAAGAAAGACTCATTTGCAGTGATGAACATTCTTGATATGAACAACACATTTTTTTTAGGGAAAATGGATACTAATAATCCAACCTTTTAGCGATCTTCTTTCAATAATCCCACCTTTTGATTATTCATGAATAATCCAACCTTTGCACTTCATCTTCATTCATTGGTCCCTGGTCGGTTAATGATCTACTATTCCAAGTTATTTTCTTATCTTTCCAAAATATTATCTTTGTGAAAGATGAGATTTATGGTATAATGATTTGCAAAGATAAGAAAATAGCTTGAAATAACAGGTGATCAACCGGTCAGGGACCAGTGAATGAAGATGAAGTGCAAAGGTTGGATTATTCATGAATAATCAAAAGGTTGGATTATTGAAAGAAGACCGCTAAAAGGTTGGATTATTAGTTTCCTTTTTTTTATGGATCAAAGATACTCATGTTATGAATGATATATAGAAGCTTTTATTCATTAGGATATTTTGGAAAAACATTAAAAAGGCATTTTTCAATGATTAATACCAAATTAAGGCTACAATGGTGAGTGTCGCCATTTACAGTTCAAGGCCACAACTCAAAAGTATCCAGTACCATCAATTCTTGTATATGAAGCATACCAAATCATAATAATTATACTAAATAACAAACCAGTGAGCTAATTCCTAAAAAACAATCTACAATGGTTCATATATTCCATTAATGGGAAAATCATTGAAATCTGAAAAGATCTAATAAATCTATAATATAAAATATGAAAAGATCTAATAACTCTATAATGCAATTAAATTCTAGAAAAGCTTGCAACTTCCCAATCTTTCAGTATTTGAGCTTGTAAGATTTCATATGTAGCTCGGAAAATTGGTGACAATCTACTCAAGTCGAGGTCCATAATATGTTCTTGATCAGATTTCTTTTGGGCTCTCTCTCTCTCATTTCATGCTCCTTCATCTTCATTTGTTGGGATTCTTTCTTCAACTTTTGGTTATGCTCCATTAGTTCTAACTCCTTTTTCATTGCTTTCTCTCTAAATGCATACTCTTTATGTTTGATTTGTTTCTTCAACTCTAATTCTGATATATTGAATTGGATTTTCTTCTCTAAGGTGCATTGCAGTTTGTTCAGTGCTTCAATAACTCCATTTTGTTCATTTTGCTTTCACTTTCTTTCCTTACAGCTCTTCCTTCCTTTTGGACGCACAATTCCATCACATCTAACTTCTTCAGGTTCCGTAGTATTATTACCTGTGTTAGGTGTGCTGTCATAAGTCATTGAGGTATTTCCGTTGTCCACAGAATTCTTATTTGATGCAGAAGACTTAGTGAGCTGGTTGGTACACCATTTTGGATACTTATTCAAAAGTTCCCAGCAGTGGACATACTTAAATTCCTTTTTCTTCTTATTACTCATAAGCGTCTCGTACACGCCCAATGCCTTCTTTTTCTGGAAAACACAAGAATCAAATAAAAAAAATTAAACTACTCAAATGTAATGAAAATATAAAAACTATAAGACTAAAGTATTACTTACTTTGTAGATGCCTTTCAAGCTTCTCATAAATCCCATGGAATTTGTTAATTGACGGTTGTATTTTTTTGCCACCGACAATGTAAGTTGTTTCTACTTCTGGACCTTTTGCCATTATCCCCCATGTTATCCTTCCAAACTTGTAAAATTTGCTCCCACATAGTTGTATGCTTCTTGTTATTACCAACATCAGGATTCATGGAGATAGATAACCATGCTTGTGTTAATGCAATGTATATCTTCTTCAGAACTCCAATATCTCTTACCAATGGAAGATTGAGTTTCACTGGAATTATTACGGAACATTTTCTGTTTCTTTCTTCCTCCTCCTCACGTGGTATGAGTTTTTGTGGCTCCACTTGGAAAAAATGGAGTGTTCAAAACATTTTGCAATGAAAAAGGAGGTCCATAAGGTAGGTTAGTATATGGAGGGAAGAACCATTCATGGTATTAAATTGATATGAAGGATGAAACTGGAACTTATTGATGTCGTAAATTGATTTGGAGTTTGGTTAGGAAGATTAACATAAGGAGGATGTTGGGAGCTTGGAATTGAAGCTGATCACATCCAGGAAACTGATTTGGAGTTTGGTTGGAAAGATTAACATAAGTAGGGTGTTGGGAATTAGGAAGCTGATCACATCGAGGATCCATATCCAAAGGAAATTGTTCCTGTACATAAGAAAACCACAATACTTTTTGCCTCTCCAAATAATTCAAAACATCCAAAATATATCAAATCCTTTACTTTTAAAAATAAGTTTTTCTTTTAATTTGACTAGATATGTTATGCTAATGACTATCCCTAACTGATTTTGAGGAGTTTGTATATACAAGATTCAAAGAGTATTATTATCATTTGAGTTTGGTGAATTCATTAAGTGATTAACTTAATATTGTCATTAACTTAATATTGTCAAATTTTCACTTTGCAATTATTATGATACTTATAGTGTTGTGTGATTACAAGTTTAAATTAGGTGATTATTTCGTAGAAGTTAAAAACAAGGAGAGAAACAACCATTTTTCATTTATTTGCACAATAGAAAATTAGGATCCTAATGTTTAGAATTTTGGCAGAGTAGTAGCACTACACTACTTAAATCTGTCATTTTCTTAAAACCCCATAGTTCTCGAGTAGCCACAAATAGTTTGTATTTCCCATGTCCTAAAATACACAATCATGACCTATCATATTCAATGAAGCTCAACCCAAGAAGTTAGAACAATTCTCATTTTACCTAATAAATACTATCCTAACATCATACAGATGTATTAAACTATTCATTTTTGGTCAATATTGACATTTGTTTGGGATTGCAATAGGACAAAAGGGGTTTTTTCTCCATCAAAACACAACCCGAATTGAGCAGATATGAAATATATCGATATATATTACACTCTTAGAGCATAACCTTCTAAAATGGACTCATATGCATGGTCTACCTAAATGACTGGTTTCATATATTCTTATGTTCTAAATTAATAAGGTTGAGTGTAAAGACAGACAACAATTGAATTTTAATGACATAACCTAATTCATCTGTTTGGTCGAAAGAATTAACACATATGTGTAACTAAGAACGAAAAACACAAAGACCGCATGTAGTTCAGCTATCTAGACAGCTAGACTTACGGCTAATTAATTAATATAAACATAACTTCAAGTTCATATAGTATCAACAAGTATCTTAAAAAAAAGTAGCAGCAAGTTGAAAAATCTACAAATATAAACATAGCATATTCATTTTCAAAATCTATAATTACTTCCGTTATATAACATACTCTCCAACAACAAATTTAATTCAAGCATATAAAGATGATATAATACTCCAAATATCTGGAATAGGCTTTTTCTTTCTAGAAAACAGTTAAAGAGATAACAATTGACTGGAGAATTTATAGTTAAAGAGAGAAAATTGACATATCCGATCATCAATCTACGAACATAGCTTTGAGCGATTTGGAGAACATAGACTACCATACGAGGATTTATGTACACACTGCTAAATATCACTGAAATATTTTAATTTCCCTCTCTTTTTATAACCATCGCGCTGCTTTTTTCCAGGTAAATTTTATCGAGTCAGCATGTGTAGAAGGGTTTCTACAGTTAAACAGCCTCCTTGATGGTGTTGAATGATTTTTTTGCCAACTCAACAAAACCTAACAAAAGACTGCACGCATTGGAGCAGATATGTGCACACACACACACCGTCTGATTTTAAGAGTTGGCATTGTTTTTAAATAGACTAGACATCATGTGTTAAAGATGCTCCAATAGGGTGCGGGGCAACGTTCATCCTCATTTGAGGTGAACATAATTGTTCTTTGTAACCACTTCACATGATTTGGACTTCCCTATGAGTTGTGCGTGCAAATCTATTTCGGGAACATTTTCTGCAATTTTTCCTCATAGACGAGAACTACATGCCATATATCAAGTAAAAGTACTGATGCATATCCATCTTTATACTCTCTCATTTGTTCATGTTACTTGTCATAAGTGTGTAGAAATCTTTGCCTTCCATACTTGTTTTTACGCTCATGTTTTGTGGGTATAAAAACGTTGGAGTTTTTACTCTCCATATTAAACTTTGTGGAAGTTATGGTTCCATTGCTAACTATAGTTAAGAGTTAACAAAGTTATAAAATAAAACCAAGTATGTGTTATTCATAAAATAGGAGTAAATGAGAATGTTTTCTCTTACACTAGTTTTAGTCTCACACCAATCAAATCATACTAGACTACAGTACACCAAATTGAAAGTAAATAGATTATATATACCATACCACACTGATTAAAACATATCATCAGATAAAAATAGTCTATACTTGGAAATACTCATAATAAAATGCTCATATACCAGACTTTTATCGGATCAAATCAAACTTAAAAAGATCAGATAAAAAATCAGTCCAAATGAAAACAATCATTGTTTTATGTAAAAGTAATTTCCAGCTCAGGTCCCAATTTACATCCACAAAGGATGCCAGTCAAACCACTAGAGTCAACAAAGGGAGAAGGGGCAGCATCCAACAATCTTAATTTCCGGCCAAACTCAATTCTG